TGAACCACAAATAAAATCAAAATTTTACATAAACACTTTCAATTTTCAAATTTAATTAAATGATTTAGTATAAAATACGCATCTCAATGTTTTAGCACTAATAATTTAATACATAGAATTCAAAAGGCAGTATTTGACAAAAATCAAAATTATTTATAAATATATGCTACACAATTATTCAGAAAATGTGCAAAATATTTTCAGAAAATATAAAAAATAAAGGAAGAATATCTGTGCTTTACAACAAATCCACAAAAATTAATAAGAAAAAGACAATGAGTAGTAGAAACACTGGAAAATATATCAATAAGCATTTCAGTAAAATCAACAATATTCAGTGAATTGCATACTAAAGAAAAAAATGAGATGTTATTTTTCACTTAATAGGCAAAAATAATAAATTAAGAAATTTGGGGCAAAAATGAATAAAATTAAATTACTTAATGTTGGATGGAATAACAAAAATTAATAAACATACCTTACTAGCACAATATTTATTAAATTATAAATCCTTATATTTTTTATCCCAAAAGCCCACTTATGAACTTTTTCATACATTTATAACCACCAAACCATATGAATATATATAAAACAATGAGTTTGCTGTTTTATTGATCAAGACAAAATCCTGCAACACAGTGAATGCTTACCCAACCACAGATGCTTGAATAAATTCTGATTCATTCACTTAGTAAATATTACACAGCCACTAATGGCTGCACAGTGCCATGAAGCCAAAATGATCTCATTTTTATAAAGTAAAAAGTGACAAAAATGCCTAGAGACATATACATATTACTACAATATTATAAGCAGATTGGCTTCAGATTCAAATATTTAAACACACAATCATGCACGTGCTCATATACATTAAAAACATATGGGCTGGGTGCAATGTAATCCCAGCACTTGGGAGGGCAAGGCAAGTGGATTACCTGAAGCAAGGAGTTCAAGACCAGCCTGGCCAACATGGTGCAACCCGACCTCTACTAAAAATACAAAAAAATTAGCTGGGTGTGGTGGCTGGCACCTGTAATCCCAGCTGATCTACAGGCTGAGGCAGGAGAACCACTTGAACCTGAGCAGTGGAGGTTGCAGTGAGCTGAGATCGCAACAGTGCACTCCAGTCTCGGCAACAAAGATGAAACTCCATTTCAAAAAAAAAAAAAAAAAAAAAATATATATATATATATATATATATATATATATATATACACACACACACACACAGATACACACACACGTACATACATAAATATATATGAATTGTCACTAAAATGTTAATTGTAGTTATCTTAGTACAGTAGTATTACATATGTTAACTTTCTTAAACTGTTTGTATTCAATGAGCTAACAATATAAACAGGCATAGGCGAAAAATTATTTGAAAAAATAGCTATTTATTCCAAAAGTAAAGAAAACGTAATAAGTAAATGTGATCTCTGTGGAGCTGAGGAGACTACGTGAACTTTCACATTTCATGCAGAAGAATAAACCATTGAAGAGGAATAAGAGAAATCCCCACAAAAAGAAGGAGTAGAATTAAAGGGGACTATAATAATTAATCCTTAATGCTGAGGGAATCGTTTTATATTATTACTTATAAGAGCTGTCTCTAGTCTTAAAGATTAAATTTTAAATCGTACAGTTTAATTTAAAAGGAAGGAGGAGGATTTTAGCTAAAATAAACTAGCCCCATGTAAGAACATAGGTAAGTTTGTTTTTATAATTTCTCCCTCCCCTGTTCTAACAGTTAGGCTATGATATATCAGTCAGGCCAGGCTATCAGTCAACTGCTAAGCCCAATCATAGCCAAGGTTATACAGCTTAGCTAGCAGTAGATCTCATTGATTATAAAGAAACATTGTTCTTTCCAGTTTAAACAGAGAATAAAGTTGTCATCACATATTGAGAGTCTATCTATGGCAACATATACAATAAAACAAATGCGGAAAGTTGACATAAAAAAAGTTCAGACGGTTGTGAATAAGAATCAAGAGTTACTCTGGAAGATTTATGCTCCAAATGTCAACTTTTACAATTTTTATTAAGGAATAGTAAAAACTATCCTATAAAACAAATGGCTTATCTTGTTCTCAGATATTCATGACAATATCTGTAAGAAATAAATTTTATTATTATCTTTGGAATACAATAAACAAAATTTTACTGGCATCAACATTTGAACATTATCATGTTTTTATTTTTTAATAATAATTTTATCAATATCCATGATGTTTTCCCAGCTGGAGGCTAATAAAGAGATAATGCCTTCTAGCAAAAACAAATTTAAAATCATTTCATTTGCAAATCCATTGAAATAAGGTATATAAAATATTTTATTTCCAATTTAAATCATATGTCAAAAAGGAAAATCTCAAAGCTAGAGAGGAAGAGTTAAAGAGTTTAAAAATCCTCAACTATTCATGTCGACAAACTCTGATGAGTCAGGCCGTTTGGGACTGTTTCATCTTTAAAAATTGGATGCATCATCACTAGTCATTAGAGAAATGCACATCAAAACCACAATGCGATATCATCTCACAGTAGCCAGAACGGCGATTATTAAAATATCAGGAAACAATAGATGCTGGCAAGGCTGTGGAGAAATAGGAACGCTTTTACACTGTTGGTGGGAGTGTAAATTAGTTCAACCATTGTGGAAGACAGTGTGGTGATTCCTCAAGGATCTAGAACATGAAATGCCATTTGATCCAGCAATCCCATTACTGGATATATAACCAAAGGATTATAAATCATGCAAGTATAAAGACATATGCACACATATGTGTATTACACATATTACACATATGTGTATGTTTTTACTATTAACAATAGTAAAAACTTGGAACCAACTCAAATGCCCATCAATACTAGACTAGGTAAAGAAAATGTGACACATTTACACCATGGAATATTATGTAGCCATAAAAAAGAATGCACTCATCGCCTTTGCAGGAAGATGGATGAAGCTGAGAGCCCTCATTCTCAGCAAAGTAACACGGGAGCAGAAAACCAAACACCACATGTTCTCACTCATAAGTGGGAGTTGAACAGTGAGAACATATGGACACAGGGAGGGGAATGTTGCACACCAAGGCCTGTTGGGGGGTGTGAGCAAGGGAAAGGAGAGAATTAGGACAAATGCCTAATTCATGCAGGGATTAAAACCTAGATGATGTGTTGATAAGTGCATCAAACCACCATGGCACATGTACACATGTGTAACAAACCTGCACATTCTGCACATGTAACCCAGAACGTAAAGTAAAATAAAAAAGAGTAAGTAATAATAATGCTTTCTTTTTAGTTTAGATAGTATTCACATAATGCACTCTGTGCAGTGTCACAGGAATACAGCAGTATGCTTAAAACAGCATGAATTGGGATTGTGATCAGTTTCTAACTTTTAGAATTACAAAGACCCCCCCCCCCCAGGTCACTAATTTTCTTGGCCCCTGTCTTAGTTCCTTTTGTGCTGCTATAACAGCGCACTGGGTAATGGACCATAATACTTTCCTTACAATGAATAGAAATTTATTTGGCCTGCTGTTCTGGAGCGTAGGAAGTCCAAGCACATGGTGTTGGCATTTGATGACGGTGATTCTTCTCTGTCTTAAGATGGCAGAAGGCATATCACATGGGCGAGAGAGAGCCAGAGAGAGCAAGAGGAGGCAGAACTGGCTGTTATAACCAGCCCACCCCCAATGTAATTACGTTGATGTATTCCTGAGGGAAGGGCCCTCATGACCTAATCACCTCTTAAAGTTTCCACCTCTCAACGTTGTTTCATTGGGGATTAAGTCTTCAATGCATGATATTTTGGGGACACGAAAGCTCTGGCCGTCCCATTTTCCTTATGTGTGAGGGTATTTTAAAAGAATAGAAGGAATTACATAGGCATTTTTTAGGAAAGGATCCAACAAATGAGACTTTGTTTCTCCTTCCATTTATTTTATCTCTTATAATTTCAGTTTTAACATTATCTTAAAATGGGATATATAATGTCTATGGAATGTATTTATTAATCATTCTTTTTATTCTATTTGACTAGAAGACATATTCTTTTTTACCTACATATTATCATTCATTTTTTTCTTTACGTCTCACAGTTATTTCCTGTAGCTGTTTTGAATTTATTTTCAAAGAAGCAGTTGGAAATTGTTGTTGTTTAAACGTGTCCCAGAAAGTTTATGTGTTAGAAACATAATTACCACTGCAACAGTGTTGAGAGGTTAGAGTTAAGAGGTGACATGAATGGATGAATGCGGGTCATGGTGGAAGTGGGCTTGATCCCACTAAAAGAATGAGTTCAGCCCTGCTCCCCCTCTGTGTCGCACATGCTTTCTTGTCCTCCCACCCTCCCTCATGGGATGATGCAGAAAGCTCTCGCCAGATGTAGGCTCCTAGACATTGGGCCTCCCAGCATCCAGAACTGTGAGGAATAAATCTCTGCCTTTACATAACTATCCAGTTCTAGGCATTCTGTTATGACAGTACAAAATGGTCGAAGACAGAAACATATTTAATATGTTTCTATTTAATATTAGAAACATTTAATTTAATGTTTCATTTAATATTTTTTTCTTCATTGTAATAGGACATTTCTAAGTATCATATGGTGCCAGATTAACCTTTATTCTCAGCAACCTATGAATTTTGGAAGAAAGAAGCATAGATTTTGTTCAGTAAACAGAGTTAATACTTGATGTCAACTCTGATACACTGTTGTGACTTTGATACACTGTTGTATGTAATCCAACTAAAAATGGAAGTAGCCTTTTAATTGGTCTCTGAACTCTCTCAAAATATGAGTCAGACAGATCAGTAGCAAAAAAGTAGTGGTATTTTTAATTTTGCTGAAGATATGATATAACAATTTGTGATGGAATTGACAGGAATATATATGAATATAGTTTGCTAATTTTTATTATGCACATATATATTATCTATGCATTTTGGTGTACTTTTTTAGTATTTGCATTTTTTCAGTCCCAGAATGCTGAGGGGAAATGTTTAATGCTTCTTTCTAAGACTTAAAAAATAGGTTAATCCTTAAATATTGCCTGAGGAACCTTGAAAGATTCATAAACTTTCAAGAACTTTCCTGGATAGGTAATTAACAGATGTCTAATTCAATTTACTCATAAAAATCACCAAACTAACTGGAACAAAATGATTTAAGATTATTGGATATTTTATTATTTGTATATGTATCATACAATTTTTTTGTTGCTTTGCACATAAGTATTCTTAGCAGAAAAAAGAACTCAAATACTTTTAGTATCTTTTAGGTCAAAATATACATATTATATTTTATCATTGTATATTTTATTATACATTTATAACATTATGAATTGTAATAACTTCAATAAAATAGTTTCGTTTGAAAATAATCTTTGATATTTGAATTTGAATTTAAAAGCTAAAAATAGTCTGTAATATCGGTTAATATTAGCTACAAGTGTTTAGTTAAGGGTTAATAGAAAGGTATAATATCTCACCTAACCTGATAATTTCTTTTGCTTGGGTAATTACTTTAAAAGATTTGCGCCTGTAATCCCAGCACTTTGGGAGGCCGAGGCGGGTGGATCACGAGGTCAAGAGATCAAGACCGTCCTGGTCAACATGGTGAAACCCCGTCTCTACCAAAAATACAAAAAATTAGCTGGGCATGGTGGCGCGTGCCTGTAATCCCAGCTACTCAGGTGGCTGAGGCAGGAGAATTGCCTGAACCCAGGAGGCGGAGGTTGCGGTGAGCCGAGATCGCGCCATTGCACTCCAGCCTGGGTAACAAGAGCGAAACTCCGTCTCAAAAAAAAAAAAAAAAAAGATTTGCTTACAAATATGTAATTTCAAATGGAATAAATATGTTCATTGACCTGAATATCATAAATTTGGAATTTTAATAAGGAGCAAGTCTTGGCGCAATTTGCTTAATTAAAAAAAACAGCTGGTGGTCCTATAATAAATAAGTATTGAGCATTTACTATCAATAAACATGATGCTAAATGGAAATGAAACCAAGATTCAAACTGCATTCTCTGACTTTTGTGGGCATTAGGAGCTATAAAAGTACAAGGCCATGAAATACCAATTATATAATAACATTCAGCAAATATCACTTAAAAGATACAACTTTGAGGATCGATACATTTTTACTAACAGATCTGGGACAATAGTTGTAATCATTTGAAATCAATCTTTTAGAAGAAAAATACTTGAGTAAATTTATTGATATAAAGTTTTTCAAAGAAGAATCTTCAATAATTGAATTTGAATGTGAAAGCTATATGTAATTTAATAGTTTGTAAATAAAACGAAATTGAGGTTTAGAAGTAAATGTTTCCAAATGTAAAGTTCTGGAATCAGTCCAAAGGGAGCTATAAACCTGATGAAGTGCTTCATTGTAAAATGGGTGACCTAGACTTTAATCTACATACAGATTTTCTATGAAATAATGACTTCCTAAATTGCTTTTTAATTGGTATCATACATAGTTTTCTCACTGATAAGTGCAAAGTTGCATATGTTTTTATTTTCTTCTAATTATTTCAGTATTTACCTGTAGCCCAGCAGAAGTTTGGCTTTCTGATCTTTGTTTCAATGTCTTGGAAAGAGAATTAATCAACAAATACATACTGAATTGACTTCTTTTTCTTAAACATACACAAATAGTTTTGAATAACCATGAAAAAAGAAATAATAGAGAAAATGTACAAAATATTTATCAGATAAAGAGTCACCATGTTAAACACATAAAAAATCTTATTTAATTTCAACAATAATTTTTTGAGGTATTATATATCAAGGTAAGATTATATCTAGCCCAAATTCACAGAAAACATAAAGTGACAGTAGCTTAATGCAGGCAGGTGCCTATTTCTCTCAAAAATAATTGAATAATTTATGTGATCATTCTGTTCCATAAAATCCTCACAGGCTGAGGCTCTTTCAGACCGTCTGAGTCACAGTGAGAAACTGAGTTCCTGATAGTGTGGTTGAGGTTTGGAAGGAAGGGCGTGAAGAAAAGGGTGAGGAAGAAGAAAAGAGCAGCTTTCCAGGTACAGACACATTCCAGCTTGCATTTGTCAGCAATCGTCATAAATGAGGGAAGGAAAAATAGAAAATATTGTCTTCATTTTGAAAGATTATACATCCAAAAATTCTTTCTGAGAAAGGAGTATCCGCATATTGATGGAAAACTACCATGTCTGTAAATATATTTCAAGAGAATGTACTCGTGAGTTGAAAAGTTGTAATTTCTCAAAGTTGAAACAATTCATAAATGGAGTACATACAGACAGAAGGTTTGTCTTCAGTTTCTCATTACTATTTTTTTAATTTAGAATTTCTGATAACTTCACATAGGATTTTACATAATGTGTCTAGATGTTTTCCAGAATTATACTGAGAAAAGGATATTAATTGTCAAAAAATAAGAGAGACCAGGTGTGGTGGTTCACACCTGTAGTCCCAAAACTTTGAGAGATCAAGGTGGGTGGATTGCTTGAGTTCAGGAGTTTGAGACCAGACTGGACAACATGAAAAAACCCAGTCTCTACAAAAAATACAAAAATTAGCTGGTTTGGTGATGCACGCTTTTATTTCTAGCTATTGGGGGGCTGAGCAAGAGGATCACTTGAACCCAGAAGATGGAGGCTGTAGTGAACTGTCGTGGCACCGCTGCACCCTATCCTGAAGGACAGAGTGAGGCCCTGTCTCAAAATACGATAAATAAATGAAATACCAAAACCTCCCAAAATATAAGAAATACCTTAATCTTGCCAATCAGAAATGACAGTTGCTATTGACTTTTGGCTCATTAACTTAATCTGTTTGTTTCTTTGTCCATTCTATCATGAGGACAGAGAAATTAAAATTCTTAGACAATCAAGTTAGACTTTTAAACTGTACATCATCAGTGAATTAATTTACAGCATATATTTTTATATATTCAGACCTGTCAACATGCTCTATTTATTGTATTTCTTAAGTAGATAATAAATGGGAAATATAAAATTAGAGAATACTAAATAATAGGTGAAGTGGAGAGAACTAGCAGTTGGAACAATGGTGCTGAGTTATAAAAACCAAATTTATTCTGAAAATCCAAGCATTTCATTACCTTATAGTTAGTAAACATGATTTGACTTGTGTATTTTAATTCAGAATATTTTGCTAAATCCCAGGCAAATCTGAGTCTGTGAGTTACTCACCAGTCTGAAGAAATGTATTTTGCAGCTTCTTGACGGGAACTGCTTGCAGAAATTCAAGGTGCTCGTGACAAGATCAGCTTGTTCCAACAGCACCTCTGTGAATGGCTGTGAATAGGCTGTGAATAGGCGATAAGAAAATAGATTTATTATATAACAGTGCTTCAAGGCGTGAGATTTAAATAAATTGCTTTAATTCATTATAGTGACAATGACATGATATTTATTGTTTCCACATTAAAATTGGATAATTGAATTACAGTCCTCAGGAACAGGGAGTATGTATTCAATCTTACTAATGCTTAGGCTCTCCAGAGGTTCTCTTCTTCTTCAGCACAAGGAATATTAAAATTCTAAGCTTTCTTAAAGCATGGTTTGAATGTGTGACTATTTCAAGCCAATAGATTGTGGAAAAAATTAGTAGGTGTCATTTGTAGGCGGAATTATAGAACAATAGGCGAAGCTTAACGATATTCTCTTTCTGAGCTGCAGCAAAAGGCAATAATATTGTTGAACCCCAGCAAACCTAAATTTATGAATAACTACATGGAGCATTGTTCCTTGCCATTTCCCAGCTCTTTTGCATCAAACATTTAGTGTAGATGAGAAAAAAAACCTTTCCCGATTTAAGACATTGAGGTTTTGGATTACTATATTTTTCTGGCAGCAAAACTAACATATCAACACAACATGGAATAATTAGAGCTCTATGTTTTATTTAATTTCTTAAATAACTGAAAAAAGCTTACCTTATATTTATATAAATATGATATTACATCCAATTTATTTCTAGTGTGAATCAGAAAAATTCCTTATTAGTTTGTGAAACTATAAATTTTGAATTATAAATAACTATGTGTTGCTTATACATTTTCTTTTACATGAAGCTATAAATTTATTTGATGTATTATTTCATCATAACGTTTAAATAACTATCATAGAACCAGGGACACAGAGAAAAAGCATTCACTTGTTGACTTACTGTGATAGGTTATAAATTCAGTCATAGGATCTTCAACATTCACATCTAAAATAAAATCTTTTTTAACAACAATGGCGTCCTGTTTTTCAAAGTTTCTTGCTAACCCATTCGTGTAGACATTTACAAATGCAGAAATGAAACAAAAACCCAAATTTCTCACATTGTGCTGTAGGCTGAGTATCTGTTTCCCCCTCAAATTTATTTTTGAACAATAAACCTGAGTGATGGTATTTGGAGGTAAAGCTTCTGGAAGTGGTCTTACCGGGGAGTCTTCTTGAAGGGGAGTAACGCCCTTACAAGGAACTGAAGGTACCAAAGCTCTTCCCTTCTGCTTTGTGAAGATACAGGGAGAAACTAACAGTCTGTGAGATAGGAAGCAGGCCCTCACTACCCATGGAACCTGTTGATACCTTGATCTCAGATTTCTCAGCCTCCAGAAATGTAAGAATTAGAATTATGTTGTTTTTAAATCACCACGTCTATGGTATTCTGTTATAGTTACCTGAGTGGACTAAGACATGTTGCACAGATTGTAAGGAAAACAAATACTAATTTTTCAATTTGGAACCAAACATTTGATTTTGCAGTACTGAATTTAAACGTATTTTATGAAACCATATTTTTTGTATGAGTTGCTGCTTTGGAGATGACATGCATAATTCAAAGGGAATAGCAGATCGGAGCTCTCCTATTTTATGCAGTTCAGTAATCATTCATAAGATGTTTAAGGTATTTTTGCCAAGAAGTCTAATATTTTGTTTCACGTAATCTGGTTTGATTTACCTTGTGAACATGAGGGAGGGGGAAGTGTGTTGTCCCATTCAATTTTATTTTTATTTCATAGACTACAGGTGTAAGTGAGGAGTGGTAATTTTAAAACCAAGGCTGTGGTACTCTCCATTATGAAACCCTTCATCCTTTCTCAAATAAAATTCTTACAGAGGAATAAGTCCTAATGTCCTCAGACAAGCACTAAACATAATGAATGAACTGCTTTTCTGTGTATCTAGAATGATACAATTTATGTACTATCCTTAAAAAATTTGAGAAAACAGTCAAATCATTTATTATTCAGTAGAATTGAGAAAGACTGCAAGAATCAGTCCATGTTATCCCTGGGATAAGTCCAAGCTTCTTAAAGTGGCATATAAAAGCCACACTGACCTGGCCTTGGACACCTCACTTGCCTAGATTTGTCAGCAGTCGCTCGCTCTAGCCTACAGTTTCCTAGTGTGCAGTATTCTCCTCGTGCACTGATGTCTCACTTTTACTACAAGCAATGTTTTTGTCAGCTCCATTTAGCAGCTTAATACATATTCATTTCTTCCAAGAAATGTTTGTTGATCTCTTTCCCCAGCAGGAGGCTAGCTCATAGCCTGTCTGTTATTTCTAGTTAAGGCTCTTGCAGCACACGCCAGCGTACACAATTATTTAATTATTACTGTCTCATATCTTTCAAGTGTGGGGGCATTTGCATAAACCAGAGTCTTTGCACGTGTGTTCCATTCCCATTTATCTAAAGCATCTTAATAATTGGGAAGCTACGTCATGCCACAGATTAGCACCATGCCAGCGGTTGTCACCATCCTATTTATACCAACAGTATGATCCTTGTTGACATCTGACCAAGGGGTGACACAATTTTTAAAGCTCATTCTGAAGAACTGTTCTCTAACGCCACTCTGGTAACTCTTAATTTGCAATCCATTCACTCCCCCACCTTGCCAAACCTCCCACGGAAGGAGGATGTTGAGACAAAAACCGATATGCAGTTTGTTCATTCGAGAGGCAATCCCAGGAAGCACCAGTGAGTGGCACCAGTGAGTGAGTGGGGAAGGTTAGGCATTAAAGAAAGGAAAAGCGTGCGTCAGTGAGCATTTCACCACTGTGGGAAACAGGGACTCAATCGTGCCGGAAACACTTTGAGAAACTGCGTGGAACACACATCACAATCACCCCACCAGAAAACAGGAAGCTGGCATTATTCTGTAAATACCAGCCCCTACTAGTTGAGGGCTTCTTCTCATGTGGGTATGTCGATTTCCTCGGTTTCCACCTTGCGTCTATAGTGGTAGGTGGAACAAACTTGCAAAGTGCTGAAAAACATGCAGGCAAGGGGTTTCAAATGAAGCTCACAGCCTGCTGGTTACTTTGGACCATCGGTGCAGGTGAATCCACGTGACCAGAGCTGATACAGGTCATGACGTTAACAGTGTCTGCTACATTGCCCCAAGATACTTTGTATCATGTCACATATTTATAACTATTGATATTATATTTTCCATGCTTGACTGGAAAATTTGAGAGAACATTACATATGATAATCCTTGGCATATGGTGTTCAGTATAACTGTCCACAAGTCTTAGTGATTATATTTCTTAATTTCTCTAAAATCCTACATATTTCGTTATTATTTTCTACCTGAATTCTATAATGCCTTCATACCTGACTTCCTATCACTTGTCTTGTTGTCTCCTGTCCAACTTCTTCATTGTTGTAATGGTGTTCATTTTTAAAAGTTTAAATATATCAGGATTCCATTGCTTAAAGTCCTTAAAATGGCATGCAAACTCCTCATATTCTATATTAATAGCTACTATTTACTAAGTCTATAAATATAAGAACAATTCAAAGAACATAACGTAAATCATCTTATAATATTGCCAATTATAGGAAAATAATTACCACATTATATGTAAATATCTGTCATTGGGAGAACAACAAATTTTAAGGATTATTACTCTTTGAAATGTTTGTATGTAACATAGACCACACTAGCCTTTAGAAAAAATTGACCTTCTGTAGGCATAAGTAACATATTTCTCTGGATGTAATCTCTGACTGTTACTTTAGGACCTTACCAATATAACACTTTACAACATTTCCTCCAATACTTCTGAGTATTCTTTAGGAGAAACCCATGTTAATCTATGAAACTGATCTGTCAACCCCCATGAAGCATAATGTAGATGCCACTGATCAAGTTGTCCACCAAATATGACAACAAGTGGAGAAATACTGTATTTCTTGTTTTTCTCTTATTTTACTGAAAGTTAGTTTTTTTAATGTGGATAAATTTTTCAGCCTTGTCATTTGAAAATATAATGTATTAAGCTTTTATGAAAGGCTTCTCTGTCTAGAAAACACATTAGTCCTTGAGAAGTTGAACAGAAAACAGATGTGAGAGGCTGAGCTCTGCTCCTCTCAGAAACTCCTTTTAATGCTGAGGGTGTTGTAACTACTCCATGCCTTTCAAATGTTTATCAAGAGGCTTTCGGCTGACGAACCCACAAGTTTATAAAACATGGTCATATCTACATCTCAGGGGAAAATGTGGCTGAGTTTCAATTGTATCCTCAACTGAAAATTATGTTCTTTATAGTTTATGTTGCCCTTTAAATTTCAAAAGTACAGTGTCTTATATAATCTCAGAATTTTCATGTTACTCCCCAATCCATATGTGAATACAAATAAAATATACACTAATTTGAAAAGGTTAAAAAGGAAGAGATTTTACAAGAATAAGCTGATTATAGTTCTCTAACACGTAAAAGTTTCTTCTGAATGCATACTTTTCTTATAATACATAACTTGGTAAGTGAAATATACATTATGCTGGAAAGGTCATGCTTTTTTTTTAGATAGAAGAGAGTAGAGGTACATGACTGACTGAAGATCAATTCAGAAGCATGTGTTCATTTACAGAGGATATATAGTCATGGTTGAACAATGGTTTAATCTCTTCAATGGAAGCTGTCCACAGAAATCTACAAAGCCACATTTGCCACATTTCAGCCAGGAGTGGGATAGAATGTACAGGGCTGGGATTGTATCTTTTAGAAGTCAAGCTCTCTAGCTCAGTTAATAGATTGTTACTTTTTGAAATTGCCTTATTCTACCGTGGAACAAAAGAGATATCCTTTAAAGGGAAAACCTATAATGGTTCCTTGTCAGAGAGGTCATGAAGAGGATTTTTGTTTTAGAATACATAACCCTTAATATCTGTTGGTGCCCTAAGTTTCTCTGAATTAATGTTATTTTCTGTTTATTACTTGTGTCTTTGACATGATTTATTTTCAATTTATGTGCACGTTTGCTGTAGAACTTGTTCTGGGTTAGCTTCAATAAAGGAATTGTGGTAGGTAAATAATGAAAGTAACATTACAATAAGATTTTTAACACTGAACATTGAACTCACCAAGAGAAGAGAATATTACTGTAGCCAGCTAGAGGTGTAATCATGTAATAGAAAATTTACAAGGCAGGTAATTCATAACTGGGTAACTAGAGCATTACTAGACTGGATTTTGGAATTTGAGTACAAAGATAATAGAATTTAGCTTGTATGAATGCTTTATGTGATTTTATTATTTCTTCTAGTAACATGAATATGAGGCACTGGAAAGCTGATAATAGGGAGAAGCTGGTAGTCAGAGAAAAAGAATTTCAGGAATCATCTGCA